CATACATAGTAACATTGAATCTCTTTACAATGTCAGAAATTCAATTTTAGTAGAATAAATGGTAGTTTATTTCACAAATACAAGCCAAGATCCATCGACAGCATCTAGCCACTTTCTATTGCGCTCTTCAAACTACATTTGCGTTGCCGCGGGCATTTCGTTTTCCTAGTTTAGGCTTAGGGACTTGGGAAATATTTAGTTGAATTGGATTGAAATATTTAACCTCGTCTTTCACTCCGAACAAGGCCATGCAAAACCATCCACTGGTATCTAAAGATGTGTAACGTGTTTTCTTTTGAAAGAACCGCAACCTTTCAGTGCTGCATTGACTTTGGCAAAATTAATATATCCTTGTGGAGATAGAAGGTATGCGTATGCGAAACCGAGATGTGCACCTGTTATGCCAACATAGTTGGGTCAAACGTTTTGAATACTAGTACATCACACACATTTTCCTACGTGCTTCGGTTGTACGTAGTAACGCGCACATTTTTGCGCACATACATCAAATTCCACTTGATTATTGAGCTATAGGCTTTTGTGTATGATTTCCATAGAATTTGTATGCTATTCTAAAGAATACTAGTTTCAGCTTTTTCGTTCCTTCAAACCGCGTGTTGAAAGTAAGTTTTGTAATACTGCGTGTAGGTTTCCAACATCCCAAAATCGGTGATGCCAGTAAATCTAATACAAAAAGATCAGTAACATCTGCAATAAAAACAGCAGTACCCACTCAAATGACAGCTGGGGGCTGGATACTCTGAATATCTGCTCCATCGCGTGCTTCTTACAGTCTTACCAGTTTACATGAGTGCCAATTGGTATCAAGCTTAACCAGAGACAAAAAGTTTCAGACTACAGTTGGCGTGACGAAATGTTTTTAAATATATATTCTACATAAGATTATTTGATTGCATACTACTGAAAGTTACGCCTTATATGTCTTTTCCCATTGCACTAATCCTTTACTGATATTCGATAATATGACGCTCATCTGACATAGTTCTTAAAGTGTGTAGATGGGTATAATCTTTTCCACGCTGTTCAGATGGGAATGCGCGATTATATATAAGAATTGCTAATATTGGTTTGCAATGCAATGAAATCCCATCCATCTTGGCCTTCCTGCCTCTCGCAATTGCTGTGTATACTTATCGGGGAAGTTCTGTGGCGTGGTTATCAAATGAAAAAAAAAAACATGGGAGTATTTTTTCTACTTCTCTACTACCAAACCTTGACATTTTGTGAGAACTTTTTTCCCTGCAACCTTTTCTTAAAACGTCCCCAACAACCACAATTAATTCTGTTATAAAACTTCCGAAACAAACACATAAAATCATCAACAGACGCATATCACCAAGTAGATATTGCAGAATTGATCTTTATTCTACCATTTTTCGTGTAATTCTTTTTGGTAAACCTGTTATCTATCGTAAATACAGCACATTTGACAATGTTGTAGTGGGACTTTTTTGGCCTCACATTTTTGATATTTGTAGTTAGAGCTCTTGGGGCTCTGTCAAACAAAGTTACATACAAAATATTGGTTGTAAATTGCAAAACATGATCATGTTGTTGGAATTACTTGGCATTTTACCACGCGTATATCATTTATTGTCGAGAATCTTAATAAAATCATAAAATTTAAAAATCCGTTTTCCTAAAATTTTTGTTGTAGCTGAATTCCAGAGACAGCATGACAACAAGCAAGAAAAGCACGGTCGCCTCTTTTAGTTTATGACACGATTTCTTAAAGGGGGACCCCGTTCTCCTTGGTGGCCGCTGATCGGTTATCTGGGAGCACGAACAAACAGATGGAAATGCGAATATATAATAACAATGTATTTTTATAGAAGAGAAGAAGCAAAAGTGTTGAGAGTCTTTGGTAGTTTGAAAAGCATTGGCATGGAACATAAGAATGAACTACATTCTTTCCCAGGGATATACTTTAAAATCTAGCAATTTTCTCATTTTTGTTCTCGTGATATCATTATCTTTCACTGCATACAAAATATTGGTTGTAAATTGCAAAACATGATCATGTTGTTGGAACTACTTGGCATTTTACCACCCGTATATCATTCATTGTTGAGAATATTAATAAAATCATAAAATCCGTTTTCCTAAAATTTTCGTTGTAGCTGAATTTCAGAGACAGCATGACAACAAGCAAGAAAAGCACGGTCGCCTCTTTTAGTTTATGACACGATTTCTTAAAGGGGGACCCCGTCCTCCTTGGTGGCCGCTGATCGGTTATCTGGGAGCACGAACAAACAGATGGAAATGCAAATATATAATAACAATGTATTTTTATAGAAGAGAAGAAGCAAAAGTGTTGAGAGTCTTTGGTAGTTTGAAAAGCATTGGCATGGAACATAAGAATGAACTACATTCTTCCCCAGGGATATACTATAAAATCCAGCAATTTTCTCATTCTTGTTCTCGTGATATCATTATCTTTCACTGCGTCGTCGTGATCATCCCGCTGCATAACATTTCTCGCTAACAAATAATTGACTGTTCTCAACCGGGTGTATATCCACTTGAACCACTGGCGACTGCTTAGCAGGCTTGTATTCTTAATTGCAACAAAAACGGGTATCTTGAAATAGTACTCTTTATTTTACGCGTATGTTTCGACAGTATTTCCATATACTGTATATGGGTCGCAGCCCAAAGCTGGGCTCAACAAATACCTAAAAGTTATTGATTTTATTTCCTAGTAAATTTGGTGCTTGCGTAGTTTGTGCACCAAGATTGCGCACAACCTGAACATAGTATTGTAACAGGAATTATGATTGTGCGTCATTATGATGCACAGGTTTGACAAAAAACACTAATGCAAATATCGAGCCGTAACAAAAATTGCTCGATTGCTGCAAACTCCACACCCATGTAGAAATGATGGGCAATGACCCCAAGATGAATAATCACAACTGAAAAAAATTTTATGTCTGAAATTAAACTTGGGCCAAAAAGGTCCCCTTATCTGCCGGACTATTGGACGTTGCCATAATATTCAAGCCTGTTTGTTGTCTACTTAAGATTATCACATCAGACATGCAGACAAGTAACACAAGAGTGAGTTTGTTGGTTAATTTGAATATTGATGTTCAAACACTCAACTATTACGGTACTTGAATTTATTTAGTCTCACGCACGGTAGGTAGTCTATAACAACATCTAATTTATAATTTATTTATCCCCAAAAATTCCCCAAAAAAGTTTAATGAGCACCATTATCTGCAAAAAAGTTTGACGCGCCATTGGCTGTACCGTTAATAAAGTTTGAATATTTGCAGTGCTGTAGAACATTTCTTCACCCATTTAACGATTTATTACCAGAATTTTGAGAGATGATAGATGCCGCTATTCCGAAGTGGAAAAATTATTGGCATGGATTTACAGTGTTACATTGAGTAACTTGAGCAACACATAGAGGGGTAGTTCAGCTACTGCACCAGAAAATATTATTGGCTCCTACTGTACCATCACAAAAATTTACAGCACAACACAACGTACTGTTAGTGCATGGTGGATTTGCTGTCCTGTAGTGACACGCTATATTTTACTATATTTTTTTTATCTACTAAGTAAGGTTGGGTGTAACTTTTGTGCAATTTTTTACATATTCAATAAAGCAACTGATTGGGCAATGAAACAAAACATGTAGCTGAAAATGTGAAAGTATATTGAATTTTACAACATGCAAAATTTCTGGAATTGTCCTGTAGTGTCACTTGGAATAGCCCATAGATATCTTGTTTTTACAAAACGTGTGAAGCTGATTTTATTAATTTCATTGAATTAATTTTCAATTAATTCAATCAAAAACCCTTGCGATTTATAATTGGTCTGTGGCCCACCTCCAAATGTCTCCATGGCTCAACATGGCCCACTGGTTGAGAACCAGTGAGCTAGACTATCCGTATCTCCCAATCGTTTCATCAGTGATTGCATGGGTACAGGTACGGTCAGACGGTACCGGTATCCTAAGTGCGTCCATACAGCTGAGCAGCATTCTCCAATAAATTACCTTCTACACGTAAAAACAAATTTCCCGAATTTTCGTACTCAATTCTATATTCTCTTATCATTATTATAAATATATTACTTTTAGTTGAACTTGTAGCATGGAGAATTTATAGAACAGTTTCGTTTTGAATTTATTGAATATTGCTCAAGAAAATCAGTCGTGAGTTAGAAACCCAGGAAACACCGTTTGTGCGCGTAGGATTATGCATGACAACGTTGGTCCCAAGCCGAAGCAAATTTTCTCAAAATAAAAACGCGTGACAACGATGGGCCGCGAGGCGTTTTCACGTTTTTTTTTTTTACTTTTTTTTTATAATTTTTGTTTTTATTTTATTTTCGTTTTCATTTTAAATTTTTTTTCGCATTTTATTTATAATTTTTTTATAACTATTTTTTTATTTTACTTTTATTTTAAGTTTTTTATTTTTTTTTTAATTTTTTTTTCAATTTTAAGCGTGACAACGATGGGCAACCATACTCTATCACACGCTATTAAAAGGCCATGAGTGAAGCTTCGGGGCTTGATGGTTAACAAAAAATAACCCATGTAAAATGGCACCAGACCGACCGGCTGTGTTCATACCCTTTGTAAACTATTAGCCAGGTATTGATATGAGCCAATGAATATCTTTACCCATTGTAGTTCTGCCATTTTTGTGTTAATATTTTTTGTGTTATCTTATATTTGATTTTCACCGTCAAGATTTTGTTACGGCTCTTAGAACCGCAGTGGTTTTCGAGATTGCTGTGATAAACTCATATTTATCTTCCATGCGATGCTAGTTAGCCTGAGGTAAAAACACGATTTTTTGTAACAATATCCTATTTCAATGCTTCTCATGTTTCTTAATTAAATGTGAATAATGTTCGGTTCTTTGAATACGATATATAACTATCTCCAATATAGATAAAGCCCATGTATTCCCTATGACTTCAATATAGTTTACAACCAGAACAAGTTGTATTGAGCATATTATAATTAGATAATATACATGCGATTATACTAACAAGGAACAGAAAATTAACAGAGTATTTTAACCCAAAGTATAAACCGGCTTTATTAACGGCTTCTATCCATGTATAAACTTTAAGATTCTTTCTCCTTCACTTTTTCCTGTCGAGAATGCTCCATCTACCGTGCCATACCTCGATACACTCAACGCTTCTCCCGCAAAAAATACTCTTGGCATGTCGTTAACGTATAGAGGTTCTCGTACTTTTTTCTGATGGCTTGACATTTGTCCAATTGTCGGATAGCTGTAGGTGCCAAGAAAATTTGTATCCCGGTGCCATTCGGTGGTTATGATATCATCAGGACCTGGTAATTTTGGATTGTTCAGAAATCGTCGCAACAAATTTGTAACAGTCAGTTTGAGTTCACTTTCAGGTGTTTTACGTATCCGATTCGAAGTCTTTTTAGTTATCCACATCATGAGAAAATTTGTTTTGTAGCTTGTGATTTTATATACGCCACGACACCAATGACTTTTAACAGAAAACTCGTCTTTGGGTATTGTAGCAGTTAATTCATCGTACGAATCCCATAACAGATATTTTTCGGAAAATTTTCCGGGGCCCCAAAATGGATTTTCGTAAAACAGCAACATTTTGTTGGTAGCACCGAAACCGATCCTCTGTATTGCAGATTGTTTTTTTACCGACAAATTTGGATCAAAGAGAGTTTTGTGATATTTTTTCAGACAGCCGATCGAAACCGTCACAAGTACCATATCAGCGTGAATTACTTCAGCCTTGTTAAATTGATTTACATAAGTTATCGCGACGCCACTTTCATTTTTCCTATTCCACTGTATACTTTGAACTTTGCTATTTAACTTGATTGCACTTTTTGGGATATTTTTACTCAATTTTTTGGGCAAAATCATGTATCCATCCAAAACTTTCACGTCGGTGGCACCATACTCTTCATATTGGTACAACGCTAGGTAATTTACAATATTCAGATGACCTCCGACAGCTACCTCCAGTAATCCAAATTCGTTTGTAAAAATTGGGCCGATCACTTCTCTAGTAAGTCCAAGTTTACTATAGTGTCTGGAAAAAAATTTTCTCCACAATTTTCTTGTCAAGCTTCCTAGTGGCAAATTAGCCATTTCTTCCTCACTTTTTCCATTGATGCAATTTCCAAACCAATATAATCCAAAAGTTCTGCAAGAAAATTGGGATTGAAATTAAAATCGATAAATCATTAATTATATTGCATGGCTATTAATTTTTAAAACTTAGTCAAGCATTTTGACAATGAATAACCTGTAATTAATTGTAAAATGCTATGATGTATTTGCTTAAATCAGTACTATTCAGGCTTGTTGAAAACGTTTTATTGTCTTATCTTCTTAATACTAGTTTATTTGACACATCACATAATATGAAACAGTCACTCGATATAGTCAACATGTTAATGATTGTCCAATCTTTACGTTATTCGCAAAACGTTCTAAATACTGCGTAAAGCATGCGTGAATTCGCACCAGTAAGTTACATGGAAAAAAACAATTAAGAAGTGTACTTGAAGAATTCCAAATCAAATCTTCTATAATTGGAGTCAACGGTCTTCCACTGTAGTACTGAAATTCGGAGTCGTTTGCCTGAGAGTAGCGACCCTGACTCTCAATTTCAAGATTTGCATCTTCAGATAGGTACTGTGATAACAAAATACCATGAATTGTTTTTGTGATATTACACTTTGCTCAAATCTTAAATAGAAGCATAAAACGTGCTAATAAAAAAATTGAAAAGGTATATGCAAAATTGGGTTTTATTTGTAGACGAGGATGTCAGTAGATAACAAACAAATATTTTTGATTGTCCGATAAGGTACTAACCTTATAAACGGGATTTTCCCCCATTCCATGAATCCACTGAGCTCCGCGTTCATACATATGACCTTTGAATTCTGTTGTAAATATTCGACCTCCAATGCGGTCAGTTGCCTCGAGAATAGTAACATCAGATTGGCCATTTTCAAATAACACTCGAGCAGCGGATAAGCCACTTACTCCTGCCCCGATGATCACAACTTTCTTGCAGTTACAATGTTGTGAAAGACACAGGGTAAGCAAAAATAAAAAACTATAGATGATATTCGTTTTCCTATACATTGTGTCTTTGATTAAACCTAGGAGATGAATCACAAATGAAAGTCAAATTAGCCAACTTTTAACGATTGTTCAAAAGCAACGGGAATGTATTGCACATTGCCCTTCCAGCATCAATTTGAATGTTCAAGGCAAACCAAACCTTGTATCTTAAAGGTGGGTTATCAAACAAATATTTTTGTGGCAAATCTGATTTCTTTATAATTTTTATTTTTGCGAAACTTGTAGCCCGACTGAAGTGTAGGGCATAAATTAAATCAGTCCAAAGTTGGATTATATAACAGTTTTGACTTGATAGCATCGTACCTTGACTGGAAATTATTGTCAAACAGCCGAGAAATAAAATAAAGTGGTAAAAACTGACTTTAGATTGAGGTCTTCAAAGCCTGTTGCCAGTCTGTCAGTATCGCTACGTTTATTGCATGAAACGACTTTGCTTGATTCTCTGAGCTTCCTATGCATATGCATTTCTGTTTAACATTAGATTATTGTTTCAATCTTTATGGAACTGCGCGCGAAGACCTAGGATTAATAACAGAAGACTGAGGTTACTACGATGCTATAAAATCGACTATATATATATTTATATACTATTTTAGGGGCTCCCGAAGTATGCGAACCAAGATGGCGGACATCGGAATGTAATATGTGTACTAGGTTAGGGTTAGGCCATAATTTTAGGTATAAATACTTCGGGAGGCTCTTGGCTAGTCTTCGAACTGATAATAGGACTAAATAAAGGAAAATTGGAAAAACATTATCGCCTAACCCTAACCTGTTACCCATGTTACGTTCCGATGTCCGCCATCTTGGTTCGCATACTTCGGGAGCACCCTATTTTATAGGTATTATTTTAATCACCATTTCTCGATGTGCGAACTTCTGATAACCCAAGGCTTTCTCAGCTTCAACTGTGCTTCCTGTACTGCGTATTTTTTTAATGAGCGATTTTATAATAAGGTATTTTTAATCCTGCATGGTGGAGTGTTATAGTCCTAATATTTGCAAAAGCTCGCAGATGAACTTCAAAAATAAAATTGAAAAAAAAAAGAGTTTTTCTGCTCAATACGAATGAAAGTTTGAAAACATGAAAAAAAAACTTCAGTTTACCTTGTGACTTCAAAGCTGTCGATATTATAGTAGCATCAATACCTTAACTAAAAGTTATTGCCCACATCATGATCATATTTCAGGTTGATACCTCCGCTCATGTCATTGTTTTGCTTGGGGCGTTCGCCGCCTTTTTCTAGACGTGTATTGAACGTTTCGTATTACACAATTTTGCCACCAATGTCTATGTTTAGCAATTATTTCAAATAAAAACCTGTTATTTATTAGTAAATGGATATCGGTTTTCATATTTTGTATATTTGAATATTTCGTAATTCCCTACTTTGTAATTTTAAAAATAAAAGACATCCCCCAAAGTGAGCTCTAGTGTTATTTTTCGATAAAAAATTGAAATATTACACTGTCCTATGTTCAAGTAAACGCGGTATATAATTTTTGAATGAAAATGCAATATTGAATCAAAATTCCTTATCTAGGTTTTACGGCTGTTTTAGAACTGATGTAAGCGCATTTTCTACGTTACAAATAGGAATCTGAAGATTTGCATCTGAATTCAGTTAACACTTTTAAATGATAAGCTATACTTCATGTCTGTGGAGATGAAGCCTACACGTAGACAGTTTGCAAGAAAATAATCGTAGCCTAACACTCAAGCATTTATGTTCTCACTATAGGTTGCAATTATGGCATAATTGTATTTAGGCTATTGAAAGAACATGTTTTGTTAAATCGCCATACAGTAATAACTGAACTTCTGTGTAATTCGAACATGTTTTATGACTTAAAATTGGTATTTGAAATGAGCAGCTTGAAGAGACCATTACAGATTTAGTTGTGCGTAGTCACGTAAGCTAATAGAGCCGACCAAATTTTATTGATCAAAATAGTAAATCAGTGAGCATGAATTGTTCGCATAACTTTGAAATCAACGTCACGTATCAGTCCTTGTATCTTGATATTCCAATAAGTCAAGCATTTGAGAGCTCTGAATCTTATTTTTGTAGAATAACGTACAATTTTACTCTCATCGGAAAGATGTAAAAGCATAAATACAAGACTACTCAGAATTAGCTCAACGACTTGCATACCTCATTTATAATGAAATTTCAAAATGTGATCATCATAAAGGCTGCAGCACCGACAACATAATCATTGATATGCTCGCCCTCACGTGATTGAAAAGCTGTTTGTATCAGCGCCCTAGAATTGCGTTGACACCGTTTCACCTGAAAGCTCACTTACTACAGTTCAAACTAATTGCTTCACATTCTTCATTATATATATATATATATATGAAATTCCTGAGTTCGGTGAAAACGATGCAATTGCAGTCAAACAGAAATCCGATAAAACGCATTTCTTGCATGAGTGACCACTTGATATGCAATAAATAAAATATTTTCAATAAATATAACGTAAACTACGCCAATATATGAACTTAAACCCCCGAAGGCAGAGATACAAACGTCATAACTCCAATCAACTCTATTTTATATCTTGGCATCTTTTTAAATTCTTTATAATACCGTATATATATATTGGATTTGAACTCCTAAATTGTTTTAAATAGACGAGTGCTCTTGTTCTGAACAAAGTGACACGTGTAAAATGGCTGAAATACCATGCTGAGCAAGTTTGTTGTAGAAAGCAGCTACATTTTTCAGAGTTGGATTGGTACTCTGAAAAAATCCCCAAACACACCATTCACCTGTAATAAATAGATGACACTGAGTAGTCAAAATCGGGAAATAAATTTTTTCCCAATAGCAGCTTTATAAAACTATTTAAACAATGCTTACTACCTCCGTCGTTGCACCTTTGTATACTTCCGTAGTAGTTCTTATAATCACTAACAATCAAAAAATTGTCACCAAATAGTACTTGTTGATCTGAAAATACATGGTTTCGATATTTATGAAGTTAGAATGCCAAGGCATATCCTTGTGAAACGTTTCACAAAAATATATGTCATGTAGAAGTCTTTAACCCTATTTTTAGACACACAAAACGACCGTATGCGATTTCAAAAAGTATGAAGAAAGTATAATCTTTACATTGTCATTGTCTTACCCATAGTATGTGCCGCTGAATTGTAAAGCATTCCCGCATCACTCTTATGATCAGCGATAATCGCCGATTCTTGAATTAAGTTGAATATAAAAAAGAATGAGATTAATATTGTAATACTATCCTTATTATTACACTAAGACAATCACATACATATTATCCATGTGCGACACTATCATAATATTCATCTCCTATTTATTTGTATATAAACCTGAAGTATACATGTGAACACATAGGTTACTTGACATAAAATATCAATATAGTAACGTATCTTATTATTTTGCATGCTCCAACAATATGGACAATATTGTTCAGTACACGAAAACTGTAAATATCTGTAGAATAGCGTTTGATATAAAATTGAATCGTCACAGATTGGTATAAGCCACAAGATTGAAACTGAAAACTAATCTAATGAATTTAATAAATATTTTTACCGTCGAGATGTTTATTTAATCGATAGATTCCCGCTCTCTGACGATTGAAATGAGCCGTTATTTCTGCCACAGTGGAACTGATGTAAATATGTAAAATACAAAGTTTTTAAAAGATACTGGACACTTAACGAGCTGGTTACAAAATCAAGAAAGGAATTGTCAAAACAGTGCTAATATGATATCAAATAAAAATTTGAGCGATCAAATTAAAAATATATAGTAAAAAAAGTGACCTATCAAGGCTAACCACAGCACCAATTTGGAAAAATGAACCAGATTTCGTGCCCAATTATTTCACGTGACAAACATTCATTTATTTACGTTAGTATGAATATACAACCGAGGTTGTCAAGCGCATAAGCCGAAATTGAATCGGAAATAACTCCTCTTATTTTTACTTTTTCTATTTTTAGGTAGTGCGACAAATTGTATTTTAATCGTACAAAACTGATGAAGCTATTTTTTTATTGAACAAAAAACTCAGTATACCTTTTTCCGTGATCCGTAGAATTGTATTGAAATCCTGTTTTCGTTTTCTTAAAATTTGAAAGTTTTGCACAAGTGAGATAAGAAGCCACTGGATCGTTTGTTTGGAGTCCCACGTACCATGTTGTGCCGATTAACTGTAAATCGAAAAATTGGAATTATTGTGCGTGTATACGACGATATAAATATTCTAGTCAAGTGACTCAGTTTGAGATCATGACTCATCCAATATCATAGCCGCACATCTTGTAGTATGAAGATGTTCTCGTTGCGGACCCAATGACAATAGTACCAAAGTTGCCACACCTAAATTAAAATGAACGAAGTGATAATGATTGAAGCTATGGATATATCTACATTGGCGACCCAGAGTTAGTTTCTTCGGCTAATACCTATGCCAACCTCCACACCACGGTGTAACCAAATCGCAAAGATCCGGTTTTTCTTAAACCATGCGTGTGAGAGAATGCCACTTATAAATAAAAATCTAACTCTAAATCGCTCATTAAATGATATAACATATATATCTTACTATATATATATGTTGTATATCAAACTACCACATTTATTTCGCCAGATATTTTTACTTCAAATTCGGATTATTAGGGCAAATATGCATCAAAGTTTCTTCTTTACCTTGGACACATCAAGTTCGTCAGCTGAAGGTAGCTTTCTTGCAGTTAAGAAAGATAAGCCCAACAGAGATATCAAGACTGTTAAACTTGTTTTGTGGATTGCCATGATCACGAACGATTAGAATAAATAGGGATAGTGACCTGTTCATAATATAACAAAAATTTATATATATCAATTATATCGCGAGTTCCAGTGCACGTTTCAAATTCTTCATATCTATAAACATATTAGCAATACCTTCCAACAATTATTCCACTCTACACTCTAATTACTCCGATATTCTGGTCAGGCCAAAATATAAGTTTTTTGTAGTCGAAGTTTTTGACAATTCCTGATTTGCTTCAACGGATCTGCGATATTACGTGTTGGAGTATCTATTTAAGAGATTTTTGATGTCCGATATTTTGAGAGCAGCCAATTTTGATCTATACATTTACATGTGTTGTATAGTATTTATTATATCAAAGTATTCAGTATATAAATATATCCAAAAATGAATTTTATAATTGTAAAATCCTATTTTTTTTTTTGAAAAACTGCCGCCCTACATTCATAAGCACACACGATGCTTGTTAACATAGCTATCTTCTTTTATGTTACATAATTAACTGCTAAGATTCAGTATGTTATAAAAACTAAAACAGATCATTTTTAACGTACAGCACCTAGCCTGGTAAAATCGTGTTGTTGGCGCTATTTGTAGTTACAAATATAAGTAAAAATATTCCTGTTTTTACAAAGGTGGTTGAATAGATATTTTACATGATGCCTTCTCGACTAACACGGTTGAGCCAATATTACAGAGAGCTAATAGGAAACATACTTCCGAGATGCATTCGTCTTACACGAATATAATCAATATTGTTGTTCTAATTCCTTTTTTTTTGGTTTTAATAATTACCTCACGACTCAGAATCACAAATGATACAAGTTATTAATCTTTTTCTGGATGGTCTGGCAACCTTTGAGCGTTTTTTTGCTCCGTCAAAGTGAAATGTCGTGCATCCTTGCGCTTTTAGCGTAGGTGGTTATAGATGAAATAAGAAGTGACGAAGGGTGGGTAACGAGCATTTCCCAGACAACTGCCGGGCTGATCGGGCCGAAACTATGCACGAGCACGCGGACTGTTACCAAAACAACCCAGAAAATTTTACAGAGCGATCGCGTCGGGGGAAGGGGGTCAAAACGGGGGTTGAAAATCGGGGTGCGGTTACCTGTCAATATGTCAATCAATCAAGTCACGCCGATTGAATTCGAGTCCGTTTAACGGCGTTTCCGGGACGGGTGAGCGTTTGGCCGATCCCTGGCAATTTTTTCGAGTACTTTGGGCGGCGGGGGCTGGCCCCCCCGCCCTCTGGGTGGTAAACGTGTGCCAGACCCCGCCTACTCGAGCTTCGTTTGTTTTCGGCTATTCTCAGACTTTTGAACGGGTTTTCGATCAAAGTGTCACTTATTTCTCGAAGAGGATAATTAAATGAAAGTTTTATCGCCGTCGAACAGGGAATTACCCCTCACAGTCGCACGCCAGGGTCTTCGAAAGTTTTGCATATGAAAACACCACAAACGTTAGGATAGAATAGATCGATGGGTATATAAACGAAAAGCGCTTTGCGCGTAATCATTTTATTTTGTGTCACTTTGAGATTTTGGAAGTATACTGTGAGTCGGGCGTAGAACGAGCATTTCCCAGACAACTGCCGGGCCGATCGGGCCGAAACTTTGCACGGGTGCAGGGACCTTTCCAAAACGACCCAGAAAATTTTTCAGAGCGATCGCGTTTGTGGAAAGGGGTCAAAACGGGCTTTTAGTGGCCCGAATCGGTTATTGGCCAATCGAGCTGTCAGTCAAGGCGTGTTTGAAGCCTCGCCCATTCGGCGATGGTAGATGAAAGTATATACTGTGAGGGAGAGGAAACGAGCATTTCCCAGACAACTGCCGGGCCGATCGGGCCGAAACTTTGCACGGGTGCAGGGACCTTTACCAAAACGACCCAGAAAATTTTTCAGAGAGATCGCGTTTTGGGAAAGGGGTCAAAACGGGCTTTTAGTGGCCCGAATCGGTTATTGGCCAATCGAGCTGTCAGTCAAGGCGTGTTTGAAGCCTCGCCCTTTCGGCGATGGTAGATGAAAGTATATACTGTGAGGGGTAGGAAACGAGCATTTCCCAGACAACTGCCAGGCCGATCGGACTGAAACTTTGCACGGGTACAGGGACCTTTACCAAAACGACCCAGAAAATTTTTCAGAACAATCGCGTTTGTGGAAAGGGGTCAAAACGGGAGTTTTGTGGGACAGAGAGAGGTTGCAAGTTAATTAGGCCGTCAATCAAGTCACACACCACAAACGGTGGGATAAAAGTATATTGCTACTATATAAACGAAAAAGAAATATACTCATAATGAAGAGGTCGGAGGTGTGTACATCTGAAGAGCGTGGACCGAGATGACGGAGGCAGGTTGTTAGGCAACAGCAAGCACTTCGTGCGTAAGGTTTTTTATTTCGTGAAATTTTGCTCGTCAAGCGTTAGTGGTACAATTCTGAGGTATACTGTGAGTCGGGCGTAGAACGAGCATTTCCCAGACAACTGCCAGGCCGATCGGGCTGAAACTTTGCACGGGTGCAGGAACCTTTACCAAAACGACCCAGAAAATTTTCCAGATCTATCTCGTTTGTGGAAAGGGGTCAAAACGGGATTTTAGTGGCCCGAATCGGTTATTGGCCAATCGAGCTGTCAGTCAAGGCGTGTTTGAAGCCTCGCCCTTTCGGCGATGGTAGATGAAAGTATATACTGTGAGGGGTAGGAAACGAGCATTTCCCAGACAACTGCAAGGCCGATCGGACTGAAACTTTGCACGGGTACAGGGACCTTTACCAAAACGACCCAGAAAATTTTTCAGAACGATCGCGTTTGTGGAAAGGGGTCAAAACGGGCTATTAGTGGCCCGAATCGGTTATTGGCCAATCGAGCTGTCAGTCAAGGCGTGTTTGAAGCCTCGCCCTTTCGGCGATGGTAGATGAAAGTATATACTGTGAGGGGTAGGAAACGAGCATTTCCCAGACAACTGCCAGGCCGATCGGACTGAAACTTTGCACGGGTACAGGGACCTTTACCAAAACGACCCAGAAAATTTTTCAGAACGATCGCGTTTGTGGAAAGGGGTCAAAACGGGAGTTTTGTGGGACAGAGAGAGGTTGCAAGTTAATCAGGCCGTCAATCAAGTCACACACCACAAACGGTGGGATAAAAGTATATTGCTACTATATAAACGAAAAAGAAATATACTCATAATGAAGAGGTCGGAGGTGTGTACGTCTGAAGAGCGTGGACCGAGATGACGGAGGCAGGTTGTTAGGCAACAGCAAGCACTTCGTGCGGAAGGTTTTTTATTTCGTGAAATTTTGCTCGTCAAGCGTTAGTGGTACAATTCTGAGGTATACTGTGAGTCGGGCGTAGAACGAGCATTTCCCAGACAACTGCCAGGCCGATCGGGCTGAAACTTTGCACGGGTGCAGGAACCTTTACCAAAACGACCCAGAAAATTTTCCAGATATATCTCGTTTGTGGAAAGGGGTCAAAACGGGATTTTAGTGGCCCGAATCGGTTATTGGCCAATCGAGCTGTCAGTCAAGGCGTGTTTGAAGCCTCGCCCTTTCGGCGATGGTAGATGAAACTATATACTGTGAGGGGTAGGAAACGAGCATTTCCCAGACAACTGCCGGGCTGATCGGGCCGAAACTTTGGACGGTGTAGGGACCTTTACCATATCGACCCAGAAAATATTTCAGAGCGATCGCGTTTAGGGAAAGGGGTCAAAACGGGTTTTTAGTGGCCCGAATCGGTTATTGGCCAATCGAGCTGTCAGTCATGGCGTGTTTGAAGCCTCGCCCATTCGGCGATGGTAGATGAAAGTATATACTGTGAGTCGGCCGTAGAACGAGCATTTCCCAGACAACCGCCGGGCCGATCGGGCTGAAAATTTGCACGTGTGCAGGGACTTTTACCAAAACGAACCAGAAAATTTTTCAGATCGATCGGAACGCAAGAAGTGGATTAAAACGGGGCTTTTGTGGGACGGAGAGAAGTTGCAAGGTAATCAAGCCGTCAATCAATTCACACACCACAAACGTTAGGTTAGAATAAATCGCTAGTATATAAACCAAAAGAAACAATGTTGCTATTGAGCAACTCGGAAGTGGGTACCTCCAAATTATGTGAGTTGGCGCACATGGACGGGGGCCCTACGCCGGACGAATCTCCGCCATTCGTCCGGCGTGACGACGTGCCACACGAAATAACCACCTCGACAGCACTACTTCGTTAACAACAATTTCAAACAGACATCCCCTTTTCCCTCGCGGGTAGCGCAGCGACCTCTTCTGGATGGTCCCGCAACCTGTTGAGCGTTTTTTTGCTCTGTCACAATAAATGTCGTGCGTCCTTGCGCGTTGAGCGTAGTGGTATAGATGAGGTATACTAGAGGACGGGTAGTGAAAAGGCATTTCCCAGACAACTGCCGGGCCGATCGGGCCGAAACTTTGCACGAGCACGCAGACTGTTACCAAAACAACCCAGAAAATTTTACAGGCCGATCGGATCGGAAGAAGGGGGTCAAAACGGGGGTTGAAAATCGGGGTGCGGTTACCTGTCAATATGTCAATCAATCAAGTCACGCCGATTGAATTCGAGTCCGTTTAACGGCGTTTCCGGGACGGTTGAGCGATGGTCCGAGCCCTGGCAATTTTTTCGAGTACTTTCGGCGGCGGGGGCTGGCCCCCCCGCCCTCTGTGGTGGTTAAACGTGTGCCAGACCCCGCCTACTCGAGCTTCGTTTGTTTTCGGCCGTTCGTAGGCTTTTGAACGGGTTTTCGATCAAAGTGTCACTTGTTACTCGAAGAGGATAATGAAATGAAAGTTTTATCGCCGACGAACAGGGAATTACCCCTCTCAGTCGCTCGCCAGGGTCTTCGAAAGTTTTCATAGAAAACACCACAAACGTTAGGATAGAATAGATCGATGGGTATATAAACGAAAAGCGCTTTGCGCGCAATCATTTTATTTTGTGTCACTTTGCGATTTCGGAAGTATACTGTGAGTCGGGCGTAGAACGAGCATTTCCCAGACAACTGCCGGGCCGATCGGGCCGAAACTTTGCACGGGTGCAGGGACCTTTACCAAAACGACCCAGAAAATTTTTCAGAGATCGCTTTGGGAAAAGGGTCAAAACGGGCTTTAGTGGCCCGAATCGGTTATTGGCCAATCGAGCTGTCAGTCAAGGCGTGTTTGAAGCCTCGCCCATTCGGCGATGGTCGATGAAAGTATATACTGTGAGGGAGAGGAAACGAGCATTTCTCAGACAACTGC